ATAATACAAAAAGAGAAAAAATTTCGGTAATTATTCACAAATGGGGTCAAATTTATTTTTGGCCATATCTATAGGTGAAAAATTGACATTTTTTTATTCTGCTTGTTTTTACGGCGCATTTATGATAAAAAATGCCGTGAGAGGAAAAAAATTTCGATAGCTTTTTTGCATTCAAAAGTTGGAAAAAATTTTATCTTTTTTAGACGTACATTTTTTTGAAACGTACATAAAAAAACGAACAATTAAAAAAAAAAGTTGAATATCACAAATTTATAAATTTAAAAAAAAATATTAAAATTTGTTAAAATTGTAATAATCAACCTTTTTTTTTAATTGTTCATTTTTTAATGTATTTAAAAAAAAATATATCAATAAAATTAAATAGAAAATTTCATTCAAAAAAACTAAAATTAAAATAGTGGACCCCACTTGTAAACAATTACCAATTTTTTTTTTTAGTATAAAATTTTTTAACAGTGTAATATTTACAATGAAAATTAAGTTAGCTGACATCTAATAATTTTTAGAATTTTTTTTTTATTGAAAAAATCATCACTACAGAAAAATAAAAAAAATTATCATTTGTAAAAAACTTGAAAAACTATAAGTGTAATTTTTAAAAAATATTTTTTAGTTCTAATTTAATAAATAAAAAATAGTCCAAAAATTAAAAACGTCGGGTAACTTTAGTATTATATATTTACATACTCATACATAATAACTTCGATATTAATTTTGTAAATATAACATAAATTTAAGTGACCGTATAATTTTTTCATAAAAATTTCATTATAATTTTCATTCTTGCGCTGACACATAGCGGCATCATTGATTTAGTTTTACACATAAAATAAAATATCCACCCAGTGTCATGCATGCTCCCTTAATATACGATGAACTTTTATATTTATAGCATCCGCATATTTTTCAGGTCAATTTTACTTCATAAAAATATACATATATATATCTCATCCATATCAATCATAGTCCAACGATTATATGTGCGTATAATCGCCTGGTTCATCAGAATAGAATATCCACCGGGCAGCGTTATTTATTTTAAAAAAGCAAATAAAAAATTCAATCGAATCGAAACAAAAGATAGACAAAGACGGTGATGAAAAAGAGGGTGAAAAAAAATGTAGAAGAACCTCCAGTTTACAACTGTACTCCTGGGCATTGGAGATGCGGTGCGTCTTTCGAATGGCGTCGAGTGACGACAAAACCAAGCTCCGTGACTTTAAAAAACCTCACCGGGATGTTCTATCTTCCCTGAAGACGAATTGCCGCTTAGCTTTTGCCCGTAATTTACCTAAAAAAAAGGTCTCGCTTTCTGAGAAGCAGTAAAAGACGCGACTGGTATGATTTCTTTAAATTGCGGTGATGAAAAAAATTCCATGCTCCCTTGGACTCCCTCTTGGGATAATGGGACTGCATGAACGCGTGTTGGTACTCGAGTTCCTTCGATATTTTTTCGTCCTTTTTTAATGACATTCCCGAGCATCCCAAGGGACTTTTACCTTCTGCGTGGATTCTCCCCCAGGAAACCCGGGTTAGAAATACCAAGTCAAATCATTGAACGGAGTTTTAATACCAGCCGAGGAGCTGATGGACTATATTGACTCTCCTGCTATAGATGCGATAAAAATAAAGAATAAAATAGTGAAAAAAAAATACCGTCAGAAGTCTAGATATATAATAGAGGCGAAGTTCGATAATCGACGCCGGCGCGTTTGTATTTTATTTCTTCTATCTTTGTCAGACTCGATCAATCTATACCTATCAGTGTCTTGCTCTCTTCAGCGTAAAGTTTTTTATGATAAAAAATACTAATAAAAATTATTAAGCGCGATTTATGAGTTCCTGGTTCGTTCGTGTATCGAGACATTCTTTTCAGTTGTCGAACCGCAAGTCAATTTATTTTATTCCTAATCTTTTTTATAACACTTTATTTATTAAGAATAATAATAATTAGCAACCTTGCAGTCGCTATGTGACTTCCGTGACGTGAATTATAAATAAATAAAATTTTGCTTTGTTAAATAATGACTTTTGTTAAATTGCACTGTACTTTTTTAGCTATTGATATTTTTAAAGATATAAGCTCATCACGATGTTACACTCATCGAGAGCTTTCATTTGAGTACCCACATGCTTTTTGATATATTTTTCATATATTCATATATATAAATATATAAATATATAAAATATATGAAAAATTGATGTAAGTACTCAAATGAAAGGTCTTCATGAGTGTAACATCGGAATGAGCTTATATCTTTAAAAATGTCAATAGTTAACAAGATACAGGGCCATTTCTTAATTATTGACATTTTTAAAGATATAAGCTCACTCTGACATTACCCTCATCAAGACCTTTCATTTGAGTACCCATATGTATTTTTGATATATTTTTCATATATACATATACATAATATATATAAATATATGAAAAATTGATGTGGGTACTCAAATGAAAGGTCTCGATGAGTGCAACATCAAGATGAGCTTATATCTTTAAAAATGTCAACAGTTCACAAAAATACATAATTAAGAAATGAATTTCTTAATTATAAGAAATGAATGAATAAAGAAGAGAATTTGCTTATTCTCTTAATAATATAGACAATAATATTTACGACGATAATTATACAGGTGTTCCTTACGAAGAAGCTCTAAGGGATGGAATAATATTCTGCAAGCTAATGAACCGCCTAAGACCAGGAATAATAACCAAAATCAACATATCCGGTGGCGATTACAAAATGATGGACAATCTCAACCAGTAAGTTGAATAAAAATTACAATAATTAATAAAAAAAAACATATAACACTCCTTAACATTCATTATCTCCCTGTAAAAAAATAATTTTTTTTTTTTTTTTCCAATAAAAATACACTAACAAACAAACCGCCCGCAAAATTGTATAATCATTACCGTAACTATTATCATTATCATTTGAATCAAGAGTACTATACCAACCAGAGTATATGCTCTCCTGATCCATATTCGACTTTACGCAATCGACAGTGTTTTGCCGGGCCAACAAACCACGTATTTCTCGATTTGATAGTAGCGATCAATCGACCAGTCGCTGTTCTTATAACAAACATTCGGCCTTTAAAATTCTTATAAAAATTTTATTTCAAATCAATCGATTTAACTGGCCTGAAATAAAACTATTTTTTTTTTTTAATAATTGTCCTATAAAGTTTTAATTTTTATATACCGAGCTGTAATTGTATTATAAAATTGTAAGTAGAACAAACAACTAATTTAATAGAAGAATAATCGAGAACTCGACGAGGAAGAGCTTAAAGTTCTTGATGGTTGATGAAATCCTGGTAGAGAAGCACCGACAAAGTCCGAGGTCGGGACCATCGCTTATTTATAACGCGTTTTCACTTTCGTTCAGGTTATTGACGTTTCTTCAGCGAGTGTGTTGGGTATATTATATACTACTCCTACACAAAAAAGAAGGGAAAAAAAAATAAAAATGCTTGGCTTATATTATAATAATAAAGTTAGCCGACGTTTTTAATTTTTTGATTTTTTTTTTTTTGAAAAAATTAGAACAAAAAAATATTCTTTAAAAATTGCACTTTCAGTTTTTTACAAATGAAATTTTTTTAAAATAATTTTTTCAATAAAAAATAATTCTAAAAATTCTTAGATGGATAATTTAATTTTCATGTATATAATTGCGTCTAATTTGTGAGGCTGTAGTGTAAAATAGAGCGATAGAAGCGTTAATTGGTAACAAAATATTTAATGAGATTTTCTAATGGGCAATCGCTTTTAGTGCTATGCTACCATCCTGATTAACTATCAGCGATTGAGGAGGTGGCTTAAAAGTCTTAATATCTGTTAAAATTTGTCGCTGGTATTTTGTTGTGAATCATAATACTTTATCATTCGGTAGCTTTCTAATATTTGATGTTTTCTTGTTTATCCAAGTGTTTTTTAACGCTTTATATAAGATTCACTTTGAGCATTTCGACATTTTACATTCAATATCGGTTAAAATAATATTAACGATTGCCGAACGGCTTTTTTTAATAAAAATTAAGTCAGCCGACATTGAAAAATTAAAAAATTTTTTTTTTTATTGAAAAAATAAATAAAAAAAATTTTTATTTGTAAAAAACTGTTAATGCAATTTTTTAAAAATATTTCCTTCTAATTTAATTATTAAAAAAAAATCAAAAACGTCAGCTAACTTTAGTATCATCTTCTTTTATTGGATTTTTTGATTGATTATATTTTTAATTATTATAATATATATAATTTTTAATGCTGTGTAAGATTTTTTAACAGATGTATGTCAAGACGTCTTACAGAAAAAATTGTTATGATTAAAATCATTATCGCTATTAATGTTAATTATTTTGACAAGTGTTTTGAGAATAATTTATTGAGGACGACTTATAAAAAAAATTTTTTTAAAGTAATTTTAGCGAAATATTACTTCATTAAAAATCAATTTATTTGTTGAATTAATTTTAAAGGATTTTTTTTATATTCTTCTTGAAAAATAAAAATAAATAATTTAGATAATTTTTATTAAAATAATTTTGCTTTATATTTTTTATAGTTACAGTTTTTTTTTACAAAGTATGTTATACATTTAAATACATTAAAAAAATACAATTAATTTATTTTTCAATGTATAAAATTTATTTTTAGGTAAAAAATAAATAAACATATTTTATTTTGCTTTTTATAAATAATTAAAATTTCTGTGATAAATAATTACATTATATTACAAAAAACGCCAATACGCTTTATTTTGTGCTTAAAACAAATATATGTAAAGAAAATCAAATTTTGAAAATTATTATACTTAAAAAAAAATTACAGCAAAATTCCAATTAATTTAAATTCATCATTTATTAAAAAAATAATAATTTTATTGGTATGAAAATTTTTTAGAGTTTTAGAAAAATTGTAAAAATGAATTTACAGAAAAAGAAAAAATATTATTTATTAAAATATAAATTTAATCAGTTTTAGTAGTAGCCGTTTCAACTTTAGAAACGGTGGTTTTATCAACATGAGTTGAGTTATCAGGAGCTTTGTGTTTAGAAATATGAGTTGATTTTTTAATCTTTTTTTGTTTAGAAATATGAGCAGAATTTTTACCATTTTTTTGTTCAGACATTTTAACGTTAGAAACGGTGGTCTTATCAATTTCAGTTGAGTTATCAGTAGTAGACTTGTCTTTAGAAATATGAGTAGAATTTTGAGTATGATTTTGGTTAGAAATATTAGTAGTTTTATTATGATTTTTTTTAGAAATATGAGTAGAATTTTGTTTAGAAATATTAGTAGTTTTATTATGATTTTGTTTAGAAATATTAGGAGTTTTATTATGATTTTGTTTAGAAATATGAGTAGGATTTTGAGTATTATTTTGTTTAGGAATGTGAGTAGAATTTTTAATAGGAGCAGGTTTGGGAATATGAGTAGAATTTTGTGTATTATTGTGTTTAGGAATGTGAGTACAATTTTCAATAGGAGCAGGTTTGGGAATATGAGTAGAATTTTGAATAGAAGGAGATTTAAGAATAGATGAATAATTTAAATACTTATTCAAAATTTGATAAATTCTTTTATGACCAAAAGTAGTACCAATAAAAACTTCCCTTCGTTGTTGCGCATACGGTTTTCTAGTGTCTGCATACAAACTCAAAAATCCAACTTGTTCATATTTATTCGTTTTATTATTCTGGCACACCACTGGAGTTGCACGGTAGTTATACTAAAAATTATAAAAATAAAAAAAATAATTAATAAGTTTTTATTAAAATGTTTAAACACAAAAAATTACCTTGAACACAATTTCGCTTTTTTCCACCTTCAAATAAGTATCTTCAACAACTTGCGTATAATTAACACCACCACACTTATACGAATGTGCAGAACCATTCACCGTTATCGCTCTATACGGAGATACGGGTGAAACTGTAAATTTTCATTATATCATTCGCAAAATTATACAAACTGATTTTTATTTTTATAAATAAATTTAATTAGTTTTTTAGTTACCATTTCTTTCACGGAGATTATTTTTGTTGATTATTGATAGTGCGGTTACACCGTAGAAATAACAGCGGTTAGAATTAATTGGCTTGCTCGATACATTGATGACGCTTATTTTGTTGCCTAAGTCAAACGGGGTCTTTAGAATAATAATAGCGAAAGTATTGCTGGGGTTTGCATGTTTATTTGCATCGAGATGTCCACTGAATATTCGCCCAAAATCACGAATTTGACAATTTTTTATGCTCAGCGCTGAAGGTTGAAAATCTCCGCATCCGCCGAGGCACTTGTAGTTTCTGAATGGTCTAAAAATTGTATTAAAAATTTTATTTAATTAAAATTTTATTAGAAATGTTATTAAAAATTAGCTGACTTTTTTGGTAAATATTTACAAGTGGGGTTAATCATTTTAATTTTGATTTTTTTGAAAATTTTGATAAATTTTTTTTTTTTGAAAAATACATAAAAAAATGAACAGTTTAAAAAAAAAGTTGATTACCACAATTTTAACAAATTTTCAAAAATATTTATAAATTTTTTAGAAAATTGTGATATTCAAATTTTTTTTTTAATTGTTTGTTTTTTTATGTACTTTTCAAAAAAAAAAAAAAATTATATCAAAAACATCAAAAAAAGATAAAATAGAAATTTTATCCAAAAACATGAGAGCCAAAATTTTTTCCAACTTTTGAAGGCAAAAAAGCTATCAAAATTTTTATTTTTTTATTTCACGATATTTTCTATCATAAATGCTCCATAAAATCAAGCAGAAGGGAAAGCTAAAAACAAGCAGAATAAAAAAAATTTTAAAATGATAATTTTTCACTTAGATATGGCCAAAAATGGGGTTGACCCCAATTGTAAATAATTTACTCAGAATTAATAAAAAAATAAAAACTTTATTTTATTTGAGTTTTTCTCAAGAAAGTTTCATTGTCTTCAATAAGTTAAAAAAATTATTAAATCAAGAAATTTTACTTAACTTAAGAATTTTTTCTCTTAATTAAAAAGAGTAAAATTATTTTCTTAATTAAAAAATTTTATTTTTTAATCAATTAATTTTTTTTAGAGTAAAATTCATTTTAAATTAACTAAAAGTACGTTTTTACAAATTTAAATTTAAAGTAAATTTCGAGCTTTAATTTTATTTGTTCTAAAATGTTAATTTTTTACCTAGTTATGGCCCAAAATGGGATTGACCCTATTTGTAAATAATTACCAAAAATTTTATTAAAAATTAACTGGCTTTTTTATAATTTAAAAAAATTTTCTTTACATTTAAAAATTTTAACTTTTACAAATTTTACTGTAGAATTAATTTTTGGTGAAAAAATTTTGTGAAATTAAAAAAATCAGTAAAATTGAAAAAAAAAATAAATAAATTACTTGTAAAGTACTGTTGAATTCAGTGTAAGAACAGCCTGAGGATGAATAAGCGTCCCGTAGTCGACGACTAAAAAACAATAATTATATAATTTATTGTTTAGTATTATTGATTATCATTATTATAAAAAGTAAGCTTACATTTTTCATCCAAAGTTCTTAACGCAAAAGAATTTCTATCTATTACTACAGTCCAAGAAGACAATCGAACTTTAGTATGTCGTTTTTCAATTCTATTTGAATATAAAACTGCACAACCTTGACACACAGAGACAATCACCGAAGCAATCAATACTTTTATTAAAATATTCATTTTTAATGTGTAAAGCTGTAATGCTTATATTATTTATCCAACACTTATAATTCTTTCTAACTAATAAAATAGCTTATATAGTCTATTAACCAACGGGAATATTTAATTAATATTTGTCTATGATAATCTAATAATATCGCAATATCACACGATTGATAATTTAGCACACACTAAAGTAAAGTAAATGATTTTATGTGTGATAATTAATCGGTAAAAATTTTTTGGTAATACTTATTCATTGGTATGACAAATTAAAACACCGTTTTAATTTTAGCTTTATTTCAAAAGAATAAATCGCGTATTTTTATAAGCTTTTTATTGAAATTTTATATTAAGAAATACGCTCAATGGTCATAAATTAATGTATACTTTTTGATAACTTTATTTACGTAATTTATTTAATTAACTTTGTCAATAAAAAGGAAATTTTTATGAAAAAAAAAATTAAATAAAAATTATTAGCTTACTTCGATTATTTAAATGAATAATTTTTAGATATGAATAATATTTAAAGTTTCATTTAAAATTTTAATTAGACTAGAAAATTTTCTTTATTATAATTATAAATTTATTGTTTGTCAAATATATCTTTTTATTCGCACTGAATTTTATGAAAAGAAATTTTCATCGAAGATTGCGAAACTTTCGTTTGGTTTAAAAATAAAAAAAAAAATACTTTGTGTTAAATATAAATTTTTATTTATTATAAAAATTGTGAACAATAATTTTTAAAGCAATAAAAAATCAATTTTATTATTAAAAATACTTTTTCTTTTACAATAAAATTAATTTTATTGATTTATATTCTTCTATTTTAATTTATTTAGTTGAAATTATAATCAATAAATTTATGGTTCAAAAATAGTTTGAAACAGGATTTATTGATCTTAATAATTATAAAGTGATTCAACAATTTCAGAAAGTTGAAAATGATCAATTAATTTCCAATAAATAGATCTCCGAGCATTTGTAATATTGACTGCAAGGTTGCTAATTTTTTTCATTCAAATATAAAAAATAAATTTCTGACTACAAAATTTTTTTAGCTTAAAAAAATTTTCTAAAATATTTCACAAAGAAAAAAAGTAATTTTTCTTACTTCTAAAATTTTTCAGCTTAAACAAATTTCTTCTTACATTTTTTTCATGACCATAACTTTTAATTTATCAAATTAAATTCCACCTAAAACAACTTTTTACATATAAATATTTTCCATAAAACATCGAATAAATCCACCAAAAAAAGGAGTACCATTTCTTATAGAAGACAAAGAAGACAAAGAGAGGGGCCGAGGATGCGCAACGCGGCCACTCCGCATGGCTCCCTTTTGACACGAGTATCATAACAGAAGAACAAGTAGGTCCCGTGTCTTAGCTGGACACCCATCGGACAACAAACGGGATCTAAAAAGTAAAAAACTCCGTACTATACAGTGTGAAAGAAGAAAAAAAACAAATAAAACCGTCTGAGAAAATAACATCCGCTTTACGTTTATGTTCCTCTGCTCCCACGGGGCTTTCTAAGTACCGTCTTTCCTCATTTACTGATCGCCCAATTCTATCATCATCATCCATGTAATGCTAGAATAAAGATAATAATAAATAAACACCGTAGATAATTTTATATAGTCTTCTTTATTATATTTTATATTTCTTCTTTCATCAGTCTTATATTTTATATATATTGCTCAACTCTGGACAAATAAAGAGGGAAGAAATATTCAAGACTCACGTATGTACAATTTAATTGCAGCAATGCTCATTAAGTCACACTACGATACTCCTTAAGCGAGTGCTCATATGCGGTAGACGCGCTGACAACCAGGATGCCAGCTACCCGAGGAACCTCCAACAATACGAGGAATCCCAGAAATTTCAAACTAAAAGCCCCGGGTTTACTTCGAAAGCAACCACTTTCTCACATCCCCATTACATCTTATCTCTTTCTTCTTTATGATTCCCTGTTACATTGGGATACGCGACACGTCATTTCTGTGACAGAAATCTCTTCTCACTGACCTAACTATTATATTATATTATCTTTCCTTTCTCGTGTATGTTGACGGCTAATATTCTATACCTAGTACATACTAGTAGTACCTAGTCCCCAATGCATTAATTAGTGTCTTCCAATTAATGTGAGACAATAGAAGCGCGTCACTAACCTAAGAATTGGCTCAGGCAAGCAGGTTCTACAAAGAGCTTACTCCCTTTGGCTTTTCTTCTCACACTTTTTTCCGCCGCTCTTATCGCTTTTCTTAACAATTTCTTTTTTCAGTACAATGATACAGAAGGTTTTTAATTGTTAGTAAATCTAATTTCTTAAATTTTTTTAGTGACTGTTGAGAAATTTATTTTATTAAATGTTTAAAAATTGTATATTAATTTTGTTTTATTTATTCTGCGGAGAATTTTATTCAATACATTTATAATTTTATATTTTTTGAGAACAAAATTTATATGAAAAAAGTGAACTGTAATAAATAATAGTCGATTTATAATAGGTAATGATCTACTGGAAAAAATTATCATTTCGAACAGTAAAATTGTGATTTTAACAATCACTTTATAATATTTATCATTTATATGCTACAATTTATTATTTACATGGAAGAAAATACTATTTCAAACAGTAATATTCGCTATGTGAATGTCCAAAATGTTAAAGTATAATAATTAAGAATTTTGACTTTGATATTTATCATTTTGTAAGGTAAAGTACCCAGTAGTTGAACAGGTTTCAAAGTAAAACGTATTTGACCCTACTTTTAATATATAAGAGATGTAATTATTAGTTCAAATTAGTGATTTTCATGAAAATATAAACAATTTTGAATTGATTGAAGCGCAAAATAACAAAAATAATTGAATATTTATCATTTGACAACGTTTTTAAGATAGACTATGAAAGGAGTAGTAGTTGAACAATCAATTCTGACAAGCCGCAGTAGTTGACTACTCTGGGAGCAGTAGTTGAACTAATTAAATATATGGCAATAGGCACACCAAAATTTTTTAACGTTTAATTGAAATATTCAAAGATTTATAATATATTATTGAATAATATTAAAAATAACACTGTGAATATTTAATATGTTCATTTAAAAATGAGAAACATTTGTATTTGATTTTTTAATTACATTTTTTATAAATGACAAAGTAAATTTTCAATTATAAATAAAAAAAACTCAATTCAAAACGTTCAATAATTTTTAACTACACTAATTTT